TATTTCGAAGGAAGTATTTTTTACAAAGACAGTTATTTATTATTGTTTTTAAATGTGCTGATGTTGGAAATTGTTAAATAATGCAAAAATTATCCAATATAAACTTTATTCACGCTTAATAAATGTACGTTAAAAGTTTTGGAACTTGGTAGGAGAGCTGAGATGATTGTGGCGGATGTTAGAGGTATTGCAATATATTTGAAACTAACATAACGGATTCAAAGTGTTTTAAAGCATAGAAATTAGCGAAACTGGTCCTATAGTAAATAAACAAGTATTTACATAACAGATCTTACTTTGAAAACTGAAGTTAATACAGTTTTGAAAACCGCAATTGACTTTGGTCGTGGTGACTGTATTAATGATCCTGATTTTAAAATTGACAACATTCAAAAGCAAGTTTTCGGGTCCTATTGGGCATGTGAACATATCTGTAGAGATGAAAAAATATGAAAGGCTTTTTACTTTTATTGTTTTAAGAAAAATCCTTTTACAATTTGCCGAACGGTTAGAAAAATTCGCTTAATTTTTCGCGACCGGGCTTCCTAAATGCACTCAAGTACATGAACGCTCGAAACTGACTCGTGGTCCATTTGTATGGAGTCTTAATTGAAAAATAAATGCTGACAGCTAAAATAAAAATGTCGAGCAAACTTACAATATTCTTTGTTTATTTGATAATCAAATACTTATATACTCTATGATAGGAGAGCAAATTCCGAACCAATTTACTTTGCCACAACGTTTTACGGAGATCTATATACTTTTTACGGCAGAACTTACAGAAAAACTGGCGAACAAACCATTTTCAATATGTAATTAATAATACGTCTCCAAGATTTAATTGTCACAAGTATCGAATTATTATTTTCTATACGAGTTCGAATTCACTATCAAATTCGACTTTTCATTACAGTAGTTGTAATGACTCACACTCGATTTCATTTTGTTTTTGATTTAAAAATTTTAATTAATTCGCATTTAGTATCATTATGAACAAGTAAGAAGGTCATATGGACTATAGTACATAAATAAAATAACAAACACAAAACTCATAAACTCATTTTAGATATTACTTTATGTGCTCATTTTTACAATAATGTAACAACTTTGTCAGATCCGTTGCACAATGAAGCCTTTTTGTAATTGAATTACCTTTTGAAATTTTCTTAAGTGGAAAGAGTCGCACCACAGATTTCAAAAAATTGACTTCCAAAAATATTTTACAAGAACAGTTTATACAAAGATTTTTTATATTTTAAGACGAGGTGTTAACTAGTTAGATTTTCAAGATATACTCCGAATTGAAGAAGAAGAGAAAATCTTTTTCCAAAAAAGAAAAATTTAGAGTACTTGATGCAATTTTTTGGTTTACAAATTTTACAAAACGATTAAGACTGGAGATTTAACAGATACTCATCCATATTTAGTTGGAGAATCCGAGAGAGAATAAAAGATACTGTCACCTTTCTTAAATTTAATGAAAAAATTATTTTTAAACTTTTAGAAATAATTTTTACTTGAAGTTTATTCATTTCTTACCTCAATTTATGTTTTTTATGACAATGATTTGAAAAAAAAGTGAAAAATCAAATAACGTAAAAATAATACATATATTTCTTCCCTTTTTAGTATAACTTAAGTCACCTAAAACCATATTTTCAGTTTTGCAACAACAGCTTAAGTCGACTTAAGTTTGACGAAAATACAAAAGTAATTTTTCACAAATCGCCTAAGTCGAGTTATGCTTTGCAAAGTGCTTTTTATAAATTTTGTATAACCGCCTATCTTACTTTTTTCATAATTATGAGAATACTATTAGTTGTTTTACTTCAGATTATGAGTTAATCGCTTCCTTTTCTAATTATCTTTCAATTAAAAAAAAAATTGGTTCAAAAAACTTCATAACTTTTTTCAAAATTTAATTTAAAGTTTAAAATGCATTTATCTCGAAATCACTAAAACAGACTTAAGTCGTTTGTGCTTGAAGCCACTGAGTTCATCATAGAAAAAAACTTTTTCATCATCATTTGCATTATTTGTAGGGGCATATACTGAAATTAAAGTAATATTTTGGAATTTTCCTTTAATTTTCAATATGCATATTCGGTTATTTACAGGTTCGAAAAGAATAATGTTGTTACGGATTTGTCTATCTACGTAAAAACCTGTACCATATAATCCTTGATTCTCACTTCCGCTAAAGTATATAGAGTAATGCTTTTTTCTTATTTCTCCTTGCCCTTTCCACCTTATTTCTTGTAGTGCAGCAATTTTGATATTATATTTTACCAATTCATCAGCTATTTCAGCCATTTTGCCTGGCTGAAGCATCGTTGTTACATTCCAATACGCAAAGTTGATATCATTGTCCTTGTTTCGTTTCCGAGGTCTATTCCGTGTTGATCGATTTGTTATCCGAGGCATCTGTTCAGGTTCCATGACAATTAAATCCAGTATAGGGTTGTCAGCCCTATGACCAGTATCGCACTCATTATTCAGCCAGATTTGCTTCTGTTGCCCGGTAGTCACCAACGTGGAGGTATAATGAGTACTTGATAGCAGCTGCACAGTTGCAACGTTGGAACGCTCTAAAAAGAGCGAACGATCAACGCCTACCCTGTCGCTTACCACCCCGACTACCAACGTATTCATTCCATTAGGATGTAATTTTACCTCTATTTTTTTTAAAGTTATCAGTTTTCGAAATTTGTAATTTAAATAATTTACTACTTTTCAGAAAATTTGTAATTTTCCTTTTTAGCACTTTTTCAAAAAAATTTTGAAAAAAAGTGCTTATTAGTTTCACTCTGTCCGTCCGTCCGTCCGTCCGTCCGTCCGACCGTCCGTCCGTCCGTCCGTCCGTCCGTCCGTCCGTCCGTCCGACCGTCCGTCCGTCCGTCCGTCCGTCCGTCCGTCTGTCCGTCCATCCGTCCGTCCGTCTGTCCGTGTGTCTGTTTACAAAACTTCTACACCCTTGAAGATAGAAAGCTGAAATTTTGTACGTATATAGATCTTTACTAGAAACTTATTTCCGTAGAACAAAATTTTTACCTATCTCCCCTCCTCTAGAAGTTATACCCCCCCAAAACCCTAAAAATGGCCTTTTTTAACTATTTGTTGCAATGAAACCATAAGCATTTTTGAAATTTTGCAAACGCAGAAAGGCAGCAGCTTGCTTCCCCTAGTGCGGTGTACTACAGCTAAACTTGAGAAAAACAAAATGGCCGTTCAAATTTACCGTTATCTAAAATCTTTTTTTCCAAATTTTTGATTTCGTTTTTCTTCTAGACCCCAGCTTGTAGAAGCTTAAAATTTTAGGGGCTTATAGACATTAACAAAGAGTTCATTTCGTTAGAAGAAAATTTTTTTCCATCTCCACCCCCTCTCAAGTTATTGCCTCTTGAAATTTGTAAAATTTGAATTTTTGGTGCCTTATATTTCCGAAACCGCAAACGTTTTCAAATTTCTATAAACATAAAAAGCTAGCGGTAAATTCCATGACATTAAAAAATATAATTATTTTTCTTAACTAACACAATTAACCCTTAAAATCGAGCATTATGTTAACCCCTCTTTATATTAATTTTTGCTTTATTTCAAAGACTGCATGAATGCATCATCCTAAATATATGCAATCCTAGAAATAGTTAAATATGAATGAAAATAATTTTAATAGAGTGATACGTAGACTGTATTTAAAAGCAGGAGTTTCACTTGTTGAAGGGAAAAGTGCTACAATACAAACCATTGGTTTGACCCAACTTTATTCAGCTATTTGTTAGCAAACCATAAGAGAATGAAAGTAATACAGAGTAATGTGTATGAAGTAATAACGTCAAGTAAAATTTGAAATAAAAGAGTTAAGTACGATATTGAAGTGTATCCTACATTTTTAGCACTTTTCCAAAAAATTTTTGAAAAAAAGTGCTTATTAGTTTCACTCTGTCCGTTCGTTTACAAAACTTTTACACCCTTGAAGATAGAAAGCTGAAATTTAATAAGTACATAGATCTTTACTAGAAACTTATTTCCGTAAAACAAAATTTTTATGTATCTCCCCCCTTTAGAAGTTATGGCCTTTTTTAACTATTTATTGCAATAAAGACATAAGCATTTTTGAAATTTTGCAAACACAGAAAGGCAGTGGCTTGATGAGCGCGGTATACTATAGTTAAACTTTAGAAAAAAAAAATGGCCGTTCAAATTTACCGTTATCTAAAGTCCTTTTTTTCCAAATTTTTTATTTCGTTTTTCTTCTAGACCTCAGCCTGTACGAGCTTGAAATTTTAGGGGCTTTTAGACAATAACAAATAGTTCATTTCGTTAGAAGAAAATTTTTTTCCATTTCTACCCCCTTTTAAGTTATCACGCAAAAAGCTAACGGCAAATTCAATGAAATTAAAATTTATAATTATTTTTCTTAACTCATACAATTAACCCTTAAAATCGAGCATTATGTTAACCCCACTTTATACTAATTTTTGCTTTATTTCAAAGACTCCATAATTAGTTCATCCTAGATATATGCAATCCTAGAAATAGTATCTATGATATATGAATGAAAATATTTTTAATAGTGTGGTAGATATACATAGACTGTATGTAAAAGCAGAATTTTCACTTGTTGAAGGGAAAAGTGCTACAATACAAACCATTGGTTTGATCCAACTTTATTTATCTAAAGTCCTTTTTTTCCAAATTTTTGATGTCGTTTTTCTTCTAGACCCCAGCTTGTAGAAGCTTGAAATTTGCTTTTTGGAAAAGTGCTAAAAAACTACGGTTAGTTACCTACCTAGTTAGTTTTATGACGCTATGAAACTAGGGCATGATATCATGCACTAACCCTATGCTCCTCCTAGAAGTGAAAAAGGGAAAAAAAAAAGACCTATGTCTAGTTTCTAGAAAATATTTTTCTTTTATGAAATTTCATAAAGAACGTTTTTAAATTTTTTAAAAAAATATTAATATTTATCCTTTTGTGTTTAAAACAATTATAGATGGCACAAACACTCCAGGACTCACCTAATGCTCTCATCAATAAAACTGTTTTAAGCCGTTACATGAGTTTGCCAGTCTCAGATGACATTGTTCAAGCTACTTATATTTGGATTGATGGAACTGGACAAGGAATACGATGCAAAGACAGAACTTTGACATTTAGGCCTAAATCTCCAGAAGGTAGTAATAATTAATATAATTTGCCTTTCATTTAATGATATATTAGTTAAAAAATTATATTAATCGTGAATAAGAATATTTATTAAGGAAAAGATTTTTTTTGCTTGTCTGATATACAGCACACTTAGATATTTTGCACCCTCTTTTTACCGACCGCATTGTATACAATGAGGTAGGTTATGTGATGTCAACAAATTTTGTACATCGAGTTTTCGGTGTGAACGCACTTCTTCATAGTAGGGAAGCGTTTAAATATACCATTTTTAGAGATGTAAAGACAATAAACATATAAATTTTTTGGAAAGATATCTGCGAAACGGGGTAATGGAATTTCTTGAAAATGATGGAAGTTTGGTATTTGAACTCTGGTTGTTACCGAAACTAACTGGAAAACTTTTCCCGAATTCCGATGGCATAAAGCGAGACTTAATTAAGAACGAAATTTACATTTTTCTAGGTACTCGTATGTTAACAAAAATCATACTGACGCCATTAAAATTGGAAATAAGTATTTAAAAGGCATTTTTATAATATTCTGTAACACTTTCAGTTAACTAAACAATACACATTGCAGTCCGTTATATTCTGCTGACCACATTCAGTTTTTTTTCTTCATCTATTTCAATATAACTACATTGCACTACATGCGCGATTTCTTCTTGCATTAATTTTTATTCTTTTTGAAGTATATATTTCTTTAAAACAGTCTAACTGATAAAAATTAGAAATTAATTTTTCTTTTTTAATTTCATTAATATCTTTTGAACAATTAAAATCGACAAGTTTCTGGACCACAGGAACTACAGCAAATTTTTTTGCATGTACTTTCCTGTGTGATATAGAAAAAACCTTTTGTTTTTTCGACTCCAGGAACTTTCCGTTATTTTTACTTTTGAAACAGAGTTCTGTAAAAAAGTATAATATAAAATAATGTATATTGATATAATATAAAATGCTATCTATTGAGTTCACAATTTTTGATTTTGAGATTACAAGTTATTTGAAATAAAAAACTATCTTTAACTAAAGTTTTTTTAGTATGTTAAACAACTAACTTTTTGAATTTTTTTTTCTTGGTCCCACACCAAATTTACCATTTGTTTTTTTCCAATTTACCATTTTATTTGATTGTTTTACATCAGTTATAATAATAAATAAAACTTGCACTTGTTTATTAAAATTTTTACTTTAAATTTTTAATTTTTATTTTTCAAAATTTTAACACTAATAACATTTACAACAAATATTGAAATTACAACTTTTCTAGGTATTAAAAAACTAGGTATTAAAAAGATGAGTTTAATATTTACAGAAGAAGAAAACAAATTATATTTCAAAAGATTTTACCTGTGATACTAGCTAGTCTAGTCTATATATGACAGATAAAATCCTTAGTAAGTTCTTTTAACACACCGTGGTTCTACGAACCACTTTACATATGCTCATCGGTTATACATTCAATAGGTTTTATTTTCACCAATGAGACGCAAGATGTTTTAATGTTTTCGAACGTATAAAGGCTTTCAATCTCTCATACAAATAATCAAATTAAATCAATTAATCATAATATTAATGTAATAGATATATTAGATTTCTAAAATCGAAGACGTAAAACACACAAACAAATTACGTAGAAGTGCAAAAATAACTACCATCCGATATTTTCACAACGTTCTAAGAAAAGAGAGTATTTTCACTTTAATTCTTATTGTTATTCTTTTACATTATTGCATAATGATGTAGTTAATTTGGAAATAGAAATTAATGCCACGAAATGAACGCACTATATGCTACGAATGTATTTACATTAAAGTATCAAACAAATAAAAACAAAAGAAATAATGTATTCGCTAAGATATTTCTCAATTGTTTCTGTAAATAAATTTTCGTTTTTTTTTTTCTATTGAAGAATTGCCTATTTGGAATTACGATGGTAGTTCCACTTACCAAGCAGAAGGGTCCAATTCTGATACCTACCTACATCCAGTTGCCATTTACAAAGATCCTTTTAGAAGAGGTTCTAACATTTTGGTGATGTGCGACACATACAAATTTGATGGCACACCGACGGAGTCAAATAAGAGAAAATCATGCTACGAGGCGGCAAAAAACTGCAGTGAAGATGAGCCATGGTTTGGTATTGAACAAGAATATACTCTCTTAGATGTGGATGGTCATCCATTAGGTTGGCCTAAGAACGGTTTTCCCGGAGAGCAAGGTCCATATTATTGTGGAGTGGGGGCAACTAAGGTATAACAACACGTTCGTTCGATTCATACAGTTAAAAATTTTTAACCATGTTTACTTACAGGTATATGCTAGAGATCTAGTCGAAGCACATTATAGAGCCTGCTTATATGCAGGAATAAAAATTGCGGGTACTAATGCGGAAGTTATGCCAGCACAAGTAATTTATTTTAATTTATGTTAAAAAATATTTTTTAAAGAGTATATCGATTATAGAATAACGCTGTATATCTATATAACGAGAGTCATCATACACTCTATATTTTTGCTCTTTCTCCGAATCTAGTAAAGTTTTTCGAAAATTGCATTCATAGAAAATTGCATAAATTTTAATGCATAATTATTTTAAAAAACATTGAGTATAACATGATCATATTAATGTATGCTCACACTTACGAAAAATATGTGATCTTTTTTACAACGAAAGTTATCATACATCAATTTTAAGAAATCTTTTTCGCTACATATAGGCGGTGATATAAAATTACTTCAAAGTAGGCTTACAATTTTATTGAAGCAAAGGTCAATTCAATTGTTGTATTCATATACTAAAGTAAACCAGCGTCAGTAAATTGATAAGGGATACGGAAATAATAATGAAATTGAAACATATGGGAAAATCTGCCAAAAAAATTGAGGAAATAACTCGTTGAAATTTCTCGTCAGTTGCCCAAATAACAAACTGTGCTGAAAATATAAGAACCGTAGAAAATCGTCAGTGAATTGGTCGCCCTTCGAAGATGGATGACCATACTGAAAGAGATGGCTTAAAAGAATTAAGGAAAAATCCAAAAGTTAGTATCCAAAACTTAGCTTCAAGTATATCACAAAAGTTGCCAATTGATATTCATGCCCAAGCTATTCGTAGATTTGTGTTGCAAGACGAATATAACGGCCAAGTTTCACATAAAAATTTTTTAATATAAGATAGTATAAGATATTAATAAATCCAAAAGAATAGAGTTCGCAAAAAAATACGAAAAAGCAACTTTTGATTTCTAGAAAATCTTGATTTTCACAGATAAAAGCAAATTCAATTTTCTGGTGCAGATGTAAAGGGAAAATTTGCACAAACGTAATCAGGCACTGGATTTGGAGCATATTACCCCCACAGCAAAACATGATGCGGGCTCGGTGATGGTTTGGGATGCGATGGCGGCGTCTATGGTGGGAAGTTCAGTATTTATTGAAAATTAAAATAATTTAATATTTATTAATATTATTGAAAATAATTTAAAAACGTCTGCCGAAAAATTAAAATTGGGATCGCCCTTTACCGGCAAGAAGTCTATGAAACATGTTTTAATTGAAGAATGGAGAAAAATACAGTCGATGTTTACTTGTAACCTAGTCCAACTTATGCCAAGACGCTTGGAAGCTGTGCTTCAAACAAAAGGTGAATGAACAGGGTCTTAGATACCATACTTCTTCGATTTACCTAGAATTTTCATTTAGTGTATGATAAATTTTGTTGCAATCTTTAATTTAATTTTTTTGTTTTTGTTTTATAGGTTTGAATGAATGATTTGTTTTTGTTATATTTTAGCTTCTAATATGTTTTACTTCATTTTCTAATAAATAATACAAATATTAGCTTATTTGGACATTAAATAAATAATGGTGTATGATGACTTCCGTTGCTGTCTAGCTAAATTTTTTTCTTTCACTCAAATTAGTTTTTAATAGCACATTTTTGTTTCAACAATATATAATTTTTTGTAATAGAAACATTCTAAGCAACTATACTTACCATCTTTGTGTTTGACGAATTTTTAAACTTTTGTATATCAGTTTTTTTAATAGAAACATTCTAAGAAAGCACTTAGTCCTTTCTCGCTACCTCAAGCTTGCACTTATCCTATTTGTAATACGCCGAACTCGGAAACCAATACACGGTTGTCACTCAAAACCTGTACCATAGAAATAGAGCCGTTCGAAATTAGTATTGGTGTAAAATTTGCTATTTAGCATATTGAAAAGTTTGCTATTTAGCATATCTGTGAACTTTCCCTCGTGGAAAAAGGTTATATGTTAAAATTAGATATATTGTGTACAGTCAATAAAGTGAATGGTATTGAATTTGTAAAGCATAACGTATTGATTTTGTTTTTGTTGTTTTCTGTCGCCTTAGATAATTCAGTTCGTTTACACAATTTTACTTCTTTATATGAGAATATTTTAAAATTTTAAATTCACCAATTCTGTAAACGAATTGATCGTTAATTTTTATACTATTCAGATGTAAGTCCACAGCACATACATAAATTTTTTTTTCTGTTCTAACGTAATATAAGTGCATATAATTAACGCAGAACCATTTTGGCTATTTAAGTTCATATATTATAAAAACAACATGAAAAAGTAACAGAAGTATTTTACTCTATTTTTTAAGTTGTTATTACATGGTTCATGCACTAATTTCTTTGCTGATTTAATTTAGTTTGCAGAAACTAAATTAAATGATGACAATCTATACATGATAACAATCTGTACATGATAACAATCTGTAACAATATTACGATATTAAATTATACAAATAACTAACTACTGCTTATTCAACTTAATGACAATACCATGATAACATGATAACAATAACTAACTACTGCTTATTCAACTTAATGACAATATAAAAATAAAACCAATATTAATAAGTTGTGCAGAAAATCGGTATGCATTTTATACAATACGAATACGGTATAATATGTACAGAATTGAGAACACATTTTTTTTTTGTTCTCAGCAAAGGTCGTAGATCTTATTTGCGCTAATATTAATAAGAAGATAAGTCAACGTTTTAGTGCTATTGTAATAATGCTACAGATTTTAACTTAAGCTATTAAATCGCTGTAATATTTATTATTGCGTAAACATTACAAGTAAAAACGTTTTAGCCGGTAAAAACACCGTGTACTTTGACAATCTGAGTTTAAAAATTCGTTTTTGAAATATTTATAAATAACTTGTCAAACCACTCAATGGAAACTTCACGGATAAGTCTGATCTATAAGTGGACACACGACGGTCGAGTTTCATGAATCTAACCTTAATATTTTTCCAAATATTTAAAATTTTCTTTTGCAGTTGTATGGCAGCTACCCGAACCTGTCAGTCATTCCATCAAAAGTGCAAAATCATATCTGACCTGAATTAGACATACGATTGGCGATTTTCATGAATCTAGCTCTTATATTTTTCTTAATATTTAAAATTAACTTCCGAAGTTGTGCGGCAGCTACCCGAACCAGTGCAGCTATTCCATTTTCAGAGCATATGTGAAGTGCAATTGGACATGTTCTTGCAAAATTTTATATTAATATCTCTTATACTTTTTGAAATATTTAAAAAACCTATTTGACTTGCATGGTAACTACCCGAACCCGTTCTCTGAATTGGTCCAATTACAATAGCAGCCGTCGTTGGCACAAAAGAAAAAACTTGTGGAAGTTTGGTGACGATTGCATTATTCGTCTTTGAGTTATCGTGTGATCGACATATCTAAATCAAAGCAGAATTTGACGCTGAAGAATGTATGTACATGTCCAAACCGGAGACGACTCCTTCAAGTGGTTACGAACTCCATACCAAAGTGAATATACCCTTCACGAAGTGCAGGATATAAAAAAAACCAATCGTTATTTATTTTAATAAAGTTGGGTCAAACCAATGGTTTGCATTGTAGCACTTTTCCGTTCAACAATTCGTGAAAATACTGCTATAAATAGAGTGTAATTTAAAACAAATTTTACAAATTTCAAGAGGCGATAAGCTGAGATGGGATGGAGATGGAAAAAAAATTTTTCTAACGAAATAAACTATTTATTAGTATCTGAAAGCTGCCAAAATCTTAGGCTCCTACAAGCTGGGGTCTAGAAGAAAAACGACATCAAATATTTGGAAAAAACGGATTTTAGATAATGGTAAATTTGAACCGCCACTTGGTTTTTTAAGGTTTAACTATAGTATGCCACGATAGGAGAAGCAAGCCACTGCCTTTCTGCGTTTACAAAATTTGAAAAATACTTACTAGTTTCATTGCAACAAATAGTTAAAAAAGTCCATTTCCAGGGTTTTGGGGGAGAATAACTTTTAGAGGAGGTGTGATAGGTAAAAATTTTGTTGTACAGAAATAAGTTTCTAGTAAAGATCTATGCGCATATGAAATTTCAGCTTTTTATCTTCAAGGTTGTAGAAGTTTTGTAAACATGTCTACGGACGGACGGACAGAGTAAAACTAATAAGCACTTTTTTTCAAAAATTTTTTGAAAAAGTGTTAAAAAGAATTAAAAAAACGAACAACATGTAGTAACACTAATAAAGTTCAATATAAAATTCCTTGTGAAAGTTAAAATTAATATAATTTATTAGATTATGTTGAATCTATACATATTCTATATTAATTCGAATTTGTTAAATTTATAGTAAAGACTTGCTAAATATTAAATATGTAATATATAACAAATATGTTATATATAGGTACATGTTTTATATAAAAAATAGGAATTCATTTACTTCTAAGTAGTTTTTCCAAGGAAATCTTTATATTCATATCGTTATTGATTCCTTTTATACATTAACAGCATATGTATAATCTATACTTTTATTTATCATTGCTCTACAAATCTTATTACTGATTTAATTCTATCCATTAACATTTTCATTAAGAGAAATTATATACTCACCTATTTTTAGTACTTTTAAAAAAAAAATTAAAAAAAAACGTGCAAAGTTTCACTATGTTATCAGTGGACATGTTTACAAAACTTTTATACCCTTGACGATAGAAAGTTAAAATTTCATACATATATCGATGTTTACTAGAAATTTAATTCGGCAGAAGAAAATTTTTATCTCCCTCCTATTAAAGTTATAGCCTTCCAAAACCCTATTTTAATTATTGAAAATAGGGTTTTCAAGGGTTTTCAATAAACCAATGCCATTTTTCAATAATTTATTACAGCGAAACCATAACCATTTTTAAAATTTTGCAAACGCAGAAGAGTACTGGTTGGCTTTTTATGCCATGGCATACTATACTTCAACTTTAAAACTTGAACGTAACAAAGTGACGGTTAAAATTTATTGTGGTCAAAAACCCGTTTTTATCAAATTTTTGATATCGTCTTTCTTTTACACCACAGGTTGTATCAGTCTGAAATTTTA